AGTTTCAGGCCTCACGATTACTAAGTTGTTTGTTTTGTGTGTCAATGTTTTCTAGTGGTTAGAGCCAAGAAATAGGAATCTGACTCCCAGACTCCACTGACTGGCTGGGTGTCCATGGGCCATAGTTAGTTAATAAGTTAGAAAGAGAATTCCTACTTCACAGAGGTACAGAAGGGCTATTAGCCATTGTAAAGCATGCTGAGATCCTCAGCTGAACCTCATTATAGAAGCTAAGTAGCAGTTAGCTCCTCCCCAGGGTAAGTTTTTACTGAAGTGAGTTAGCAGCACAGTTCCCAGGGGAGTTGAGCAGCTAAGTCACTGCTTCTTCCCAGCTCTCTCACTCATTTTTCCTTCTTATCTATTCAACCATCGGGTATGACAACAGGTAGCAAAAAAATGGTGGCAAGTCAACACTTTGTAGTGCACCTTGAATCCTTCTAAACTGCTCCTTATCATGTGCACAACATGAATCTCATTATTACTTATGTAGCAATTTTTGTCCCTATTTATCCCCCAAAGCACTTTGCGCGCACACTCGTTATATGAAGTATGTGCAAAAATCACTATGTCCACCAATGGACTGCAGCGTACTGGAATATGTTAGTTATTGGGCCCTTTAAGATTGAGAGCTGTAGTAGTAAGTCATAGACTCACAGAATACTAGAACTGGAAGGGATCGCAAGAGATCAAGTCCAGTCCCCTGCTCTCACGGCAGGACCAAGCACCGTCTAGATCATCCCTGACGGATGTCTATCCAACCTGCTCTTAAATATCTCCAGTGATGGAGACTGCACAACCTCCCTCGGAAATTTATTCCAGTGTTTAACCACCCTGACAGTTAGGAAGTTTTTCCTAATGTCCAACCTAAACCTCCCTTATTGTAGTTTAAGCTCATTGCTTCTTGTCCTATCCTCAGAGGCCAAGGAGAACAATGTTTCTCCCTCCTCCTTGTAACACCCTTTTAGATACTTGAAAACTGCTATCTCTCTTCTAAATTAAACAAGCCCAATTCGTTCAGACTGCCCTTATAGCTCATATTTTCTAGACCTTTAATAATTTTTGTTGCTCTTTTCTGGACCTTCTCCAATTTCTCCACATCTTTCTTGAAATGCGGTGCCCATAACTGGACACAATATTCCAACTCAGGCCTAATCAGTGCAGAGTAGAGCGGAAGAATGACTTCATGTTTTAGTCGCAATATTTCTGTTAACGTATTCCAGAATCATGCATCGCAGAATCATGTTTGCTTATTTTGCAACAGTGTCACGCTGTTGACTCTCATTTAGCTCGTGGTCCACTATGACCCTTAGGTCCCTTTCTGCAATACTCCTTAGACAATCTCTTCTCATCTCATCCTGTATGTGTGAAATTGATTGTTCCTTCCTAAGTGGAGTACTTTGCATTTGTCCTTCTTAAACTTCATCCTATTTACCTCAGACCATTTCTCATGTTTGCTCTCAAGTGCCTAAAGGCAATCAGAGAAGGCTTCTTGTCCTTGGTCAGAGAAACGGCCAGAGGAAGAAGGCAGACAAAACGACACCTATAGGGAGCAGGGACTGGCTGGGGAGAAACCTCAGTAGAGTAGGGCTGTGAAGTAAGAGACAAATGCTAACACACAACCCTGAAGGGTAATAATAAAGCAACCCAGTATAATCTTAAGACGCCAAGATTCAAAACATTAGAACTCTGAGCTAAGGAATTAAACTGTGCATTTGTCTGGAACACGGATCCCATCTTCCCTGACTGGTGAATCAGCTGTAACTAGTAACAAGTACTCTCTTTCTACCTGTTTTTCCTCACTCACTCAAGTCCCACTATGAGAGTGTCCCACAGGGACTCTGTCACCTTACCCATATCACCTTCCTTTTATTAAAAAGGTGAAATATTTGCTTGCTTGGGGTCTTTGACACTATGTTTAATCTACGTTATGAAAGTATTTTAAAAGTGTCCAACTATGCCGAGACTTGTAGGCAACAGTCTGAGGGAACACAGCAAACACACTGAATCCCCACCTGATTTTCTTTTTCTTTCAGAAAATTAGAGTTATCTGCTCTTGACCCCAAGAGGAATGCTTTCCCAGGTACTGACAGCAAATTATTAATTGACATCCAGCAGCATTTTATTGTCTGTGCTTCCTCTTCTCACAATGGCAGTCTGCTTCTTCCAAACCTGCTGATCTCATTCACCTCTCCCTCATCTTGGCTAGGATGGTGCATTGTCATCTTTCCAGACTGCAGTTCTTGTGCTCACTCATCTGGTTTGTCAGCCACTCTTGTTAGTCATTCCAGGAGCAGTGACTCCTCTGAATCCTTAGCAGCTGTTAGCCCATTAATTTAACTTTAGACTCCTGAGTC